GACATCAAGAATATTAAGGCCTCATATACAAAGGATAAAGTAGGATGAGATGTAGTAAATAAGTCAAGAAACAAGATAGTAAATGGATCTTGGAAGGCACGAAGAAGAATCTTACAAGAGTATTTTGCGGATCGAAAGAGCACAGTTGGTTCAGCGGTTGTGGAAAAGAGCAGAGTTCTGATCAGAGGAGGTCAATTAAGCATTGCCAAATCCAATCCAATAGATGAACATCTGGATTTCATCAAACAATCAAGTTAGAGGTTGTGCTTAAGGCGTATTAGATAAGAGGTTATGTGATAGATAAATGTCTTGGTACAAGAGGCAGCTGGTTATAGAATAGACTTAATTTATCCAATCTTAATTTATCCACATGAGTTTTAGCTTTATGCCAGAGATGGCAAGTTTCACAGACGATACAGATTATGATGCCAGAGCAGCATCTGGAAAGGAACTTAATCCACTTGACAATACTGGAGAGAAAAATTGCAATTCCGGCAGGAGGTGCAGTATGGCTACGTTTTTTGAGTACACCTTGACACGATGAGCAAGCGGTGTCAGACAATTCCATGAAACAAAAGGTGAATTCAGCCAAAATAAATAATTTAGTGTTCGCCTCTATAAGCATGAATAAGCAGATATAGCTTTATAGTTTTTAAGGATTAAGACATCTCGTATTGCGACTGTTTCGTAAGGTAGCTAAACTAGTTTAGCATAAAAGCTGAATTGACCTAGTAAATTGGATAGATATAAAGTACTAAGAAAGCTTCTTACTTTTTAGAAGTATTACAACACTTATCTTAGCATGTTTTTTGTCAAGGCATCAATTCTAATACTTTATATATAACCGATATTCTTCCTCCTTTTTTGAACAATTAATGGGTAGTATCCAAATAATGCACTGATTATCTCCCTTCCCTCCACAAGATTGCATCTAAAAGCATCTTTCCTTTTTAACTTCAAACCATGCTTGCAACATCACAATGCTCCAACCCTTATGCGTTAATGTTGGAATAAGCCCATATTTAGCCGTCACGTTTGTTGAGCGAGTCTAAACATCTTTTGTGCCTGCGCTATACCTGTTTTCTGTTGTGCCTTCTCTAAAAAATCCCTTAATAGTATCATTCTATTCATACAATTATATATTGCTTAAATATGTATGGTTTACGTTTTAATGAAACACTTAATAAACCTAATATCATATATACCACTCATAGTTTATTGTCATCTGAATATTAATCCTGCGCTAAAATATCAAAGTCAGTATTGTTTGAATGAGTTCTGACAGGAAGTGCTGCTGACTTTTTGTTACCAAAGGGAAGTTTTGTTGTCCTTAATGTACAAGGCTCTTTAAATCTGATAAGTTGTATTGGGTAGATACTGCATTTCATAGAGTTTTAAACTATTTAATTAGTCCAAGGCATGCAATGCGCAAATCTACTGGGGTTCAATTATGAAAAGCTTTTAACCAAGTAAATTATGCCCAGAGCATTTTGACTAGATTGCTTAGACTCATTTTTTAAATATTAACATATTCAAACCGGTAGCCAACCAAAGAAGACGAGTTTCCGGATTGCAAGGCGATAAAACGAAAACTATTTCTATATATTTGGCTTATGAGAATAGAATACTATTTTGCATAAAGGTACATTATTTTATATTGTTTCCTAAATTTAAAGTTGTGACTACTTTCATGCTTTTGTAGAAATAATGGAATATATACCGGAAGTTTTATAATATTTCTGCATAGGCTAAATAAAATCTTTATCCTCGCTATATCATAACTTTACCTAATTTGAATTTATACAGGATAAAATTGGCCATACAGTTTGTTTGTTTGCGTCTTATTAACGAAAATAGGTAATCTTGTGTCCTTGATTATTATTGCATATGAATGTTTTTGATTTACCACTAAATAATAAAGGTCTTTAGTCTGACTTAAGAAAGTTAACATCGCAAGCTATAAAAGCTTAGATTTATTGTATGCTTAGTATTACCTAATTCCACCTCCTAAGAAGGCTAGATGTGGAGCGAAGTCCTAAGAAGAAAATGTTTGGAAACCAAGTAAAACTTAGATATGAAGACCTAATTTGGTTGCAGTCACATGTCGATGTACAGAAGTGGTCTGATCTCGTTTTTTGTAACTTGGTCGTGTGATCAGGGAGATTCAGCTAAATGCGCCTTGTCCAAGTCCTCTGTGTTAGTAGTTGACATAATCATCAGGGTGGAACGGTGGACTTGGTACATTTCCAGGCGATTCACAAAGATCGTATTCGGCATCGTCAATGAGTCTTGCCATTATCAGCATCAAGGTACTGTTTCTCAAAGCGATGCCGATTATGATGCCTGCAAAACGTCTTGGAATGTACCGCGTCCACGGTCCAACACTGCGAATTACGATAACTAGCATATCAGAGGGCTTCAGACAAGGTTCACCCAAATAAGTCCCCGTAACAACACGGTCAAGTTGTGAAAATGAGGTCTAACCACCTGGCGTTAAACTGAAGTAACAATATAAGTGGGTTAACCTCGTTTTCGCGACTTGATCTTGTTGAAAGAGGGACTGAGTTTAACGCAACTTATCCGAAGTCATCTGCAGTAGTGGTTATCATAATTCCCAGCATCAAACCGTGGACTTGCTAAAATCTCAGACATTTCGCCGGCATCCCAGTCGGCATCGTTAGTGAGTCTTGCCATGCTCCAGACCAAGCTACAAACTCATCGAAGAAATAAGTGTTTTCCTTCTACCAAAATTCTGTCGAAACAGTTACATTATCACTACTCTTTATGTCATGGCCCAACTATCCACACCTTACCCTCTTATCCAACTCCCACCCTACCACAACTTCTGACTTGCTTACATTCCACTCGTCAAATGTGTATCTTTTTTTGGCCAATTTATTGTGGCCTCATCACATCTGCTATTCACCTTGGCCCCCTTACTTTTGACCGGCTAATCCGACTCGAGCCTCCAATCAGGATCCCCCTCATTGTCCCATAGATCCGTTTCATGTCTTTCTCTGGTTGACATGTTTCACTCTGTTCCGGTCTCAGTGTGAGTTTAACTCGAGGCGCTATTTCTCAAGACCTTTTAAGCACGTACACTGCCGCCTCACCGAGCAGAGTGCCTAGGGTCTGATAATGAGTGAAGTTTTTATATTAAAATGTTGCCTGATTAAACAGGATGAATGGGTTTGTTAATGATAATGTGTTTGGTCTCCGTTAAACTGAAAACCGGTAAAATATACTATACAGTACTTTGTTATTTTTTACCATCTTTGTGATATTTAAACTTAATTTATTAGTTTAATGAGTATGACCTAACTGACTAATAAGTTCCCCTAATAGTTAGATAACAAGCTTTTTCTTTGTTAAAAATGTTGCTGGGAAAACATTTAAAGGTCCTCTAATGCATTTTTCCATTCATTAATTTTTATTATTATTATTATTAGGTATTGAAAGAAGTCTATGATACCATGAATTATATGCAATTTAAATATCCCCATTTTAGAGATTGCGGTTTACGCCACCAAAAAAACTTAGTTCTAGGCAAATAAAGGTTACTTCAGCAGCCCTAAGTTTAATGTGTGCTTTGGAAATCATACTTATATATAGCATAATATGTATACATATAAATAGTGTAGAAGGTATAGGGAATAGTCTGCAACCGATATGTATACATTGGGTCATTATGTCAGCTTAAAAGTTATCTAAACATATAATTTAACACAACCTTCATTGACAAAGCTTTCTTATATATTTACAAAACGTTAAAGGTAACAACAATAAGTAGTCATGCTTTAGTATGGTAGTAATTTACTGATGGTACTTTTTAGGCGACCTAAGGAAACCGTGCTTAAGAAACTTTAGTGATGCTTCCCAAAACTTCACGCATAGTGGTAGAAAAAGTACGCGTTTAGGCTGTAAATAAGCTTTCGACTTAAAATTAATTAAGGCTTATTTGACGTTTAAAAATTGTGGATTATATAACATTTTTTATAAAATTATAAAAATTGCCTACTTATTTATTTGTTTGGGTTGTATGATAGATGTAAAATTACAACAAGTCTACGCCTATGAAGAGGAAGCGCAGCTTTCTTCGCTATTATAATAGCCTATTAACGAAATTTTCATGAAGATGGACACACCTATAATCTTTTGAATAAGAGTTCCTATAGCAGCGAAATTTCGTATTCACATTCAAGCTGATTAAAAAAATACTGCTTAAGTTAATAGTTTATTCTATTATTCAAAAATAACAGCTTTAACGGACAAACATATTTTTGGCAAAATCAAAGACAGATTATTTGACATAAATCCTCAAAACTTATTTATAATGTCCCTTTTTATGTCTGAGCTACTCAGGCCTCGTACAAAATCGATCTAAGAAAATCTAGCTTATTTTCTTGGCAAAGTTTAACAAAACAAATTCTGGGAAAATTAATTTTATCAAAACATCATGTCGAAAAGATATATACATAAAGGATTTCGATTGCTCCCCTAGATTCATAGCAATTTTTGCTAGACAACTTACTGAAGTTCTCTAGCAGGAACATAAATTACTCCTTTAAAGCGTACACTTTCACTTTATTAATCATTTTATTCTTTCACTGTATGCATTTAGATACGAAGAGAAACTTGGCTTCCATGAATCTCGTGAGATAACATTGCAATACAACTATTTTGATCCATCCTCATCTGGTGAGATCGACAAACGAAGCTCTTCTTCATGCACTTTCATTCAAAATGAAGGTCCCCCTAACAATGTATGCATTTAGACAAAAAATACAAGAATTATATGAAATATATAGGAAATAGTTTTTGATAAAAATATGAAAAGTAAGGGGACTAGTTAAATTTATGTTATTTGAATAGATCTCATGACTCAGACTATAAAGTCGTTCAAAATAAGAATGAAACTCTGATACCATCTCTTAATTATCTTATATTAGGTAGTAAATATGCTTTTATTTCAACTAAAACTTGTGCTAAGCTCATAATTTCTCAGTTTATTAAACTCTAATATAGGATAAATATGAAGAATTGCCGTGATTAATCTAGCATTACCCTGGTAAAGCTACACAGATATATTGCGACCTCATTATTTCTAACATTGTTTCTGTATGTTAATCAATGTGTTACACCAAAATCTTAGTTTCATGCATTCCAAAATTTATATTAATTTTAAAGAGGAGCTATACTAAAGATATCTAAACGTGCTTACTTTTCTGTAAAGAGGCGATAATCAGCAATCCTTTTTTTGTGATTCTACAACATAGCCTAAATTGATGAGTAATTTATTTTCTGTATACAATTAAAAGGTTTAGCAAATTTTGCTTGCTTTACTTGAATATTTAGGTATGAGTATGCTAGAAAATTTGTAGTAAGTAAATAGTTAAGGGTTTAACTGTTACTTTTCGTGAATAAGTCAGCTCCTTTAATATCTTACTCCAAATTAAATATCACTTAGCTGGATTACGAATCTACTAGTAGAGTTCGGATAAGTATCCGAATCAACTTAGTTCCTGAAATACATTTTCCACATTTAAGCAAGTACAAGGCGCCACAAAGCCATTGCATTCCACTTGCTTGCCTTCTATAGTGCTTTCTTAGTTGGGCATGACATAAGTTTGGAACCTATCAGCGAACTAAACAATGTCTCATCTTGGCATGCACGCATTCATTCCGAATCCCCTTAGTCTGAGTAGGTCAGTCGTACGAAGAGGGTAGTGTCGGTCAAAACGGATGATAAAGAGGCACAGCTAAGAGAAACTTAACCGTTTATGATTCTTCATAATAATACTACTTGCTTTGATATTAGGTAACCTTACATTGTCAGGGAAAGGGACTTGTACATGACATAATTCAGATTTGCAGCAAAATAACTGATCGTAGATATGACGACCAAGATGGCGTGACCTTATGTTTGGTCTCAGTCTTATAGTCCTTTAAAGGGTTGTCTTATCTCGTCTTCTCAACTTGTACTGTGCGAAAGGGAGACCTTGTTGAAGGCACCTGGTCCTGCATCCGATATCATAGTATTCATGATTTCAAGCCTCAAACTGTTTACTTGGTACATTGAAAGACGTTTCACCGGTATCGTCAGCGAGAGGCTCTATCCTTAGCAGAGATTTACAACATGTTAAAGTGGATTGCTTTGACTTGTCACCAAGATAAGTTGTAACTCTATGATAAGGATAGCGCCTCTCGCTGACGAATACGATGCCGTCGTAACGTCTGGCAATGTGCCATGTCAACAGTGCGAGACTGGAAATCGTGAATATAATGGCATAAGACGCAGGACTAGGTATGTTACACACGGTCTCCCTGTAGCATCGAAGAAGTAGATAAAGCGATGTCAAGCGTAAAGTAAATGAGTATTGATAGTCAGATCTTGGGGCTAAGGAAGCCGGGTGAGTAAAAAGTTGGAGACAGATATTTTTTTTCAATGTGCTGGAGAGGATGGTGTCAAAAGGGACATCTACTTGCCCCTGTTTATGTTTGCTGAGTCTTTGTTTGAACTTCAAATCCTCGTTTAAATCACTTTGATCCATATGTCATATAGGATTAAAAGTGAGTTTAAATTGAAATTAGAGGTACATGCTCACTGACTTAGAAACCCCAACCTCATAAATATGAATAAAAGCTTTAGTCAAACAAATTATTTATATTATTCTAGCATATAAAGCTAAAATTTTGAATATCCATCTTGATGTTAATGCTGCCAAGGTATAATAAAATGTTACAAGTCAGTAAGTTAAAGACAGAGGGATCTTTTTCTGACCTCACGCAATGATCTCAACCGATCTAGCGGGCAAAGCTTCGAAACATGGTCATTCCAAGAACTCTTGCCCGTCTATCCGCTTCAAGAGCAAAGCAATATTATCCGTATATTTTACTAATAACTCAAAAGTATAAGATAAATCACAACCTTTGCGTTAAACTAGTTTTATCCCGTGGTTAGCATAATTGTATCAATATAGACATTATTCCTATATCAGGTTTT